CCCTGAAAACGGGTCCTTCCAGGAGCTTGATTTCCTACACTTTGCTACCAGAGAGTGATAAAAAAAAAAAAGATTTTTTTTTTTTAAAATACCAGAATGAAGAGAGAACACATGGAGCGGTGATACTGGGGACCATCCATTGCAATGTAACCCCCTTGTTTCCCAGATGTAGAAACCCAGAGTGGCAAAGACTTGCCTAAGGTCACCCATGGGCTCCAGGGCCAGAGGTCAATCAGTAAACATCCCACTGTGGGCCTGAGAGCAAGGAGGCACCTCGGAGAACACGGAGTCCACCCCCTCCTCTGGCAGAGAAGCCCGGTCCCACCTGACACTCACTAGCTGGGCTTGGAGGTTCCTTCCAAAAGATGCTACAAGCCCATGGAAGGTGACACACCCAGCTCTTGCCTCCCTCACTGCTGGGCCCACCAGAAATAGGCACCTTCTCGCCTCACCCCTGCTCTCCCCCAACAACTCTCCATTCCAGAGATCTTTCCTACTGGTTTTCTCACCTGCCACTCCCAGGCCATGGAGTTCCTTCAGGTTGTGTTTTCTCGGGCCCCTGCCCATACAGGCCTGAGGGCACTAGGGATCATACCCCAGGACCAAATTCCTTGGAGTGCCTGCCTCAGCCTGGTTAGATTTCCCTGGTTAGAGCTGGCCCAGGAAGGCCAGGGCAAACAGGTCTGTGGACGCTGTCTCTTCCCTCTTCACGTACAGACTGCACAGATACAGTCTTCCTTTCCACAGCCTCTTATTCCATTGATTTCATTCATTATTAGCCTTCCTCATCCTCCCCGCGATGATTTCACATGCACAGACGCTCTGGAGAGCTCACCATGTACCCAGTCACGCCAAGGCCTTGGAAAGCACGGGCCACCCAGTTAGCCTTTCTTTGTCTGAGAATCGTTTTTGCGGCTGGCTAAGATGTGCTGATTTTTCATGTTGGTATCCCGCTCCAGAAGGGACCCTCTAAGGATACAGCACCAAGCAGCCTTCTGCTTCCTCCCAACATTCCAAGCTTCCTCAGCACTGGGCAGTGACAACAAAAGGCGGCCTGGCGTCAGAACACCTGGCTTTTAATCCTGACTGGACCCCTGGGCTGTTCGCTTCTGCTTCCCGCCTCTCTCTGTCCTCCAGGACCCCGGGGGGGGCTGGCTGCCTCACTCCTCCTCCATGAGCCTCTGATTATCTCCCCACACCTGGAATGCACACCCTCCTCACCTCGCCCTAGCTTCCTGCCCTCCTCTGAGATTCTGCTCAAATCCCGCTTTCTGCAAGGAGCCTTTCCTTATCTTCTTCTCCTACCTACCCCCATGTTTGCACAGACCTAATTATTCAGCAACGGCACCTCAGCTTCTTCCTGTGGTCCCTGAGGTCCTCCCTGCCAGCTCTAAAGTGGTGTTCTAGGACCAAACCCCTGCTCAGAGGAGCCCCTGGGCAGCAGCCCTGACAGGTCATCCCTCCAGGGCCTTGTGCTGGGATAGGCCCTGACTGGCAGTGACCAGGACCAAGGCAAGGAGGAGGCAGCACCCTCGTGGGCCATGCTGAAGGCCCATTCCTAAAAGCAGAGATGCCAACTGGCCAAGAGACCCCAACAAGACCTGGGGCTAGGGAGATGAACCATGGAGTGAACCAGCTCCAGAAGGGAGGGGCCAAGAGAAGAGAACATGGCAGAGGATGGATTTGGGCAAGAAAACAGAAGAGAATCTAACCGGAAAGAATCTTGACCTGGGGCATGCCAGGATCAAGGTCTGACACAGGAGAGGGCCTCTCACTCACAGGGCCTTGCCCCAGTTCACCCAGGGAGGGAGGGTCAGAAGCAGGATGTGGCCCCAGGTCCTGGGACTCCAGTGTCAGCACCTACTCCGGCCTCAGGTGGCATCTCACCTCTGTACCCCAAGGAAAGGAAACAACTGTTTGGGCTCTCATAACTGACAATGACCTAGCACGTCACCCACCACCTCAGCTGGGCCAAACAACAACTACCCAAAGAAACTATGAAAATCTCCTTTTCTTATAGATGAGGAAACTAAGGCTCAGAGAATTTCTTTAAGTTACACAGGCAGTGTTCCTGAGTCCTCATCTAGGCATTGCCTGTCAAGGATTCTAGGTCTACGATCTGTACGTTCCAGACAAAATCCAGACCAACAGAACATCATAAAGGTGCTGACAACATTGGGGTGACGACCTTGATAAGATGTGGGCCTGTTAAGGTGGCACGGAGAGGAGAATGGTCTGTTTCCCACCCTACAAAAACCCTATAAAAAGGAGCCCTCTAATTCCTGCCCCCTCAGGCCCTGGGGTCCATGCTGCCCCGTGCTCCCAATTTGGAGCCCTGGGTACACGAGGGAGAATCTCAGCCTCTCCTGCTGCCCATCCTCCTCCTCACGAGATCTCCACCCCATTCCCTGGTCCCACACCACCATCTATCTGCCCCTTGGAGCTTTCTGCCTCCATATTCTCTATTTTTAGTGCAGATGTGGAGAACCTGCAGACTCGAGGCCACATGTGGCCTTCAAGGTCCTCAAGTGCAGCCCTTTGACTGAATCCAAACTTCACAGAACAAATCCCCTTAATAAAAGGATTTGTTCCATAAAACTTGGGACTCAGCCAAAATTATTTAAGTGTGATTGCCACCCTATTTCCCATTGCCAATCCCGGTCTCTCCTGGTGAATATCCAGAGAGCTGTTTGTGCCTGCCCCTATAATTTCGTACATAAATGATCAATTCACCACCCAATGGGTTGGAGGCCCCCAGCCTCGTGCAGCCACCAGCTCTGGGCTTTCTTCGAAGGTGACAGTTGCCTTGCTGAGGGCCACCTTAGAGGGTCACTCTGGGAGAACTCTTATGCAAGCCTCCAAACACAGCAGTGCATTCCCACCAGCTCTCCTTCTTCTGGATTCCTCCGGCTGCTCATCCGTACCCTCTGCCCTGAGATTGAAGGCGGAGCCACAAACTTCTCCAATTAAGAAAGGAGAAATCAAATGGACATCTCCTCATTTCCCACCCATCTGCCCTCATCTGGGCCTTTTTGGCTTCTCCCCACCCCCCATCGCCCCATGATTCAGCTTTATTTTCTAGGTGGTCTTCCCCCCCACATTTCCCCCCAGACTAAGTCCCTTGAGGGAAAAGGCTGTCATTTTTAAGCAGAGGACTCTCAGACTGCCCTGAGTCCCCATCTCCAACCACCTCCTGGGCACCTCAAACGGAATGTCTCACAGACATCTTGTATCAGCATGCCTGTCTTTCCCTGCCCCCACTCTGAAGCCCTCCGCTCCTGCTAACCTCCTTATTTCTGCCAAGGGCACCGCCATCTTTCCAGTGTCCTGGTTTCTATTGTAACCTCAGTACTATTCTGGACTCCTCACTCTTGTTCACCCCTTGGTGTTTGTCCTTTATTTTCGAGAAGGACCAGTGACATCACGGGATGATGTCTTGACCTGCTAATTAATCGGATTTAAGTGAGGCAGAGTTGCAAATCGGCCCCACTCTCTTCCAGAGTCATCAAAGTCCCGTGGCCAGACAAAAGTCAGTGCAGCTGCCAATGTGTGAGGTGCAGTGGACGACCTTGGTGTCTTCCATGTCTGACCAAGCTCTGAGCGCTCCGTGGTGCTTGCGTCAGCCACCTTCGTGGCCACTGGGCCGCCCACTGAACCGGGGAAAGTCTTCCCATGTTTGGAGCAGACACCCCCCAACTCACGCTGCTGGTTACTCTCAGCCTGCTTTAGCCTGAGATGGTTTTACCAGGGTGTGCCGCCCTGCGTGCTCCAGCTTCTTGGAGCTCACCCCTACCTAACCAATCAGCTGCCAAATGTTGCCGCTCACAGAGTCACCTCACCTCCTGCTTCTGGTCCATCCTCCACACTGCTGAAACAGGGATGTTCCTTACACATGATTCTGACCACGTTAACCACCCCCCCCCAACTTAATCCACGCCACTGGCTCTCTACGGATTCCAAGATCAAAGAGAAACTTTTCTGTTTAACTTTTAAAGCTGTCCACAGTCTGGTCCCAACCTAGCTTTCCAGCCACACTGGACATGACTCCCCTCCCCACACTCCCTAGCCTGGCCAAAGCGGCCTGGTCCTCCTTACCCACGCCACACCATTGGCGAGGGACGCACTTGCTCCTCACCTGCTCTCCCCTCCTGACCATCCACTCCCCTCCCTACTGTCACTAGCCTTTCTCCCACCCTGCCTTCTATTTAACTACTTTGTACATGTTTGTATTCATTCTCTTTATATTGGAGGCAATAAGGTGGTGCAGTGGGTACAATGGATAGAAAGTTGAGCCTGGAGGGAGGAAAACCTGGGATCCAATCCAGCCTTAATAGCTGTGTGAGCCTGTATGAGTTGGCCCCTCTCGACCTCAGCTTCCTCATCTGTAAAAAGAGGATATTACACCTACTTCCCAAGGCTACTGTGAGAATCAAATAAGACTATATTTATAAAGTGCTTTGCAAACCTTAAAGCCCTATAAGCAATGCTAGCTATTCTTATAACTTATTATAATAAATTATTACAACAAATGCTATTATTATAAGTTCACGATAATCAGCACTTCCATCGGTCTTCAGGAAGCCTATTCCCCACCAACGCAGCCCGTCCTTCTTTACACTGAGCCCAGATCAGTCTCTCTATCACTTCACAGCAACCGTGAGGAGCTGGAGGGGCTCCATAACCCCTGCCCCAACTTATAAAGGACAGGAATCCCCATGGAAACATCTCCAACTAAGGGTCACCCATCCTCTTCCTCGAGTGCTCCAGCACTAGGGAACCTCCCATCCCTGGGCAACGCCCTTATCTCACAGGCAGAGAACACAATAGGGAGAGAGCTCTCCCCTTCCCCATTCCCACCCCAAGTCTCCGAGCAGGGGCCAGATGCCTCCTTGCCAGGCACGGGTCCCCTCCCGGCTTGGCTTCTGGCCTGGTCCAGTACAGAACCTGTGGGAGCTGGGGGAAGCTGCCGAGCCCTCCTGAGCAGGGACACAAATCCTTACCTCCACAGGAATGGGTAGCAGCTTCCAGTCTGGGCTGGCAAGTTCAGGAAAAAGAACGGAGGAGCTGTGGCAAGGGCCCCGTCAGCACTGAGAGGAAGCTGGGGGTGGCACAGGGCAGGCGCCGATGCCGAAGACGGTAAGCGCGGATGGACATCACTGTTTCCTCGACCAAGAGAAGAGATTCTGCCGAGGCATCCCAGCAGAAAAGGCAGGGTCAGTGACAAGCTCTAGACAATCAGGGCCTATTCTGAGCCAGAACCTCATATAAAAGGCCCAGAAAACAAGGGGCCCAAACCCAGCCCAAGCAGAGGCCCCTAAGCCTGGGCTTGAGGGAGAGCCCTGAAGTCAGAAGCCTACAGTAAGGGGAGCCTGGAGCAGCACCATGCCTTAGAACGTGACCTGCCCAAAGGCAGGGACCCTGTTTGGGCCCTTCTTTGTTTACCTAGCATTTTAGTAAACCCATAATCAATGCTTGTTAACTCCCTGCCTGCCCTGGGACCCATGCCAGGATATGGCAGCCAGGAGGGCCTTTTTGTTACTCAGCTGGTGGTTTTTCTGTTTAGAAGAGTACCAGGCAAGCCAGGATCTCTGTGTTACCCCAGATCTTGGGGTCCTGACAAGCACCAGGGATGGGGGGCTCTGGAACCCCACAGCACTCCCTAAGTGAGCCATCAGCTTGGAAAGAGAACTGTAAACACAGCCATAACCTAACCAACTGATCCCTGAGGAACAGACCCAAATGCTGAGCATTCCGTCGGCTAAAGTTCAACTCTATCTTTCAAAGCAAATACTAGACTTAGTGACTTCAGCTACTTTCAAACTCACAGCTCCCTCCCTCTCCCCCACCCTGTCCAGGTCTGGCTGCTGCCCATCATGCACTGTAGGGTCAGAAAGGGAGTTTCCAGGGCTCTGGAGGCTCCAGGAGCCACTAAGGAATGCCCCACCTCAAGCCAAGGGAGGAGAAGGACACTCCCATCTCATGTGGAGGAAACCCCAAATACAGAAAGCCTGATCTTGTTTGGGGCTGTCAGCGTCACCCAGGAATCCCCTACCGTCAGCCACTCCCAGGGCACCCTGCCGATGGCTGGACAAAGGCCCAGAGCTGGAGCTACTGGTGGGCTGGTGAGGCTCCCTGAGGGCCCTCTGCCAGTGCTGTTTCCCTCCCACCAGCTGGTTTTTGGTCCCTTTTCTCTGTTATTGTCATTTGCCCCCAAACATTTCCCATGGCCAACAAGGGGATCCATTCTGTCAGAGCAGGCATAGGGAATGCAGAGGCTGTCCCAGAGCAACTACATCCCAAGTTTGGCCGTTATCTAAGACCTCGGGGAATCATTAACTCACCCAGTGAGCCTGGTAAGGGCGGGGGGCGGGGCAGGGACCAAAGGCAGCGCTCCTAAAGCATGAGGTCTGAACCCCGGCTTCTCCTTCTGTTTCATGAGGTACTTTGGGTCTTATGCCAAGTGCAGGCACTCGGCAGGATCCAGAAGGACAGAGGGGAGGCACATCTACGTTGCCTGAGCAGTCTGCAAACACAAGAACCTGGGAACTCTAGCCCCTCGTTTTCCTGTGTCTAGAATTCCCTGAAGGCTCCAGGGACATCTTGTCAGTAAGGTCACAAGAACTCCCTGCCCGGTAATCTCTGCTTAAAGAATCCACCAGCTTAGGAGGCACTGACCCACATACAGCCTGCCTTCTGGCCTCCTCAAGCCAACCCACCGACCTTGGGGGGCCCACTGCACTGCCTCCTGAACCCATTTCCCACTTTTCTCCTGGCTACAGGCAGAAAGGAATCAGCCAGGCTCCTCTTCGTCTAGCCGGGGACAGAAGGGAAGGGAAAAGGGACACCAAATCCCAATGCTGATGGGAAGGCCAAGGTGGGCAAGGACTACAGGCCTGTGGCGGTGAGTGCCCGCTCCTCAGGGTTTTCAGCTCAGACAGGGGGCGGCTCTCTTGGCTTCTCCCGACCCCAAAGCCTGCCCAGCCACAGGAGAGTAATGTTTGTTGGATATGTCACCCCAGAGAGCCCCAGGCTAACACCATCAGCCCCTCCTCCCCCACACCCGCATCCTTACTGGATCCGAAGAGATGGGGCTCCCAGTCTCTCTCGCCGCCGTTTCATGCTGCTGCTGCGGCTGCTGTGGCAGCTGCCTGGGCACCTCCAGACCCTGTTATAGCGAGCTCAGAGCAGGGATTAGGGCGTGGGGCAGAACCCAGCCAAGGCAGCGACACACTGAGCTCCAAGACCCCCCGGGGCTCAATCCAAAGGACTTCACGGGAACGGCACTCCTGGCTTCAACCTTCCGTGCCCAGTGGATCTAACAGCCACTGCCCTGGAGTCTCCAAAAGATGGAAAGGTAGCCCTGGCTGACACTGATTTGGAAGAGGAGGCAGGAACCTGCTGGGAGGGTCCTCCTAACATCACTCACTCTGGCCAGCAGCAGTGGCAGCAGCAGCGGCAGCAGCAGCCCAGGGCCAGGGTCTGTCTGGAAACGTGTCCCCAGCTCCGTGCCACCCGCCACTGTCCACACGTCAGGCGAGCTCCCATGGGGGGGAGGGAAAGGGGGAGGAGGCCTGGCACAGGCTGTACATACCAACAGGCAGACTCACTCTGGGACAGAAATACAGTTATCACTCACAGAAACCCAAGAGCTGTGAGCAGACCACAGAGCAGCTGCTCCAGGCAGGGGCTGGGGGCACAGGGGACCAAGCGTGCTCATCAGGCCATTTTTGGAAATCAAAGTGCTCAAGAATTTGCTCCTCCCCAGGCAGGGTCCCCCCCCCCCAATGGGCCCTTGGCTCCTGTCCGAGGGAGAGAAGAGAGGCAGGGGCTGACCCTGAGGGGGCCCAGGGCAGCTCCCCGGGACCAGACTATGACAAAGTGAGGTGGGGAGAAAAACCTCGGCTCTAGTCCATTCACGCTTCTATGCATATGTGTGCAAGGGAACATTCATGCTCTGCCAGAACTTGATGATTTAGTGATTTAAAAGCTGTGAGGGCAGAGGTGAACATATGACTCCCATTTTGTAGCTAAGGAAACTGAGGCTCAGAAGCAGATGCCTTGCTCCCCAGCCCCACAGCTCCGCGGCGGGGGCACCATGTCCACATGACCTCACACTGTCCAGTAGTATGCAGGGTACACCAGAGAGGCCACTGGGCCTTGACTGGCCGGGAACCCTTGGCCTTCTCCATGCACGGAAGAGTCAAACAGGCCTGCAACCTCAGACCCTCGGCTGTCTGTGTCCCAGACATGGGGGAGATATCAAGATCAAGGCCAGGTCCGCACTCCTGGAATACCTGCCAATGCCGACAGGCCCAGTGCTAACCAACAGTCTCTAGCAATAAATACAGCAAACACCATCAGCTAAAGTTTCTTGCTTAGGGTCTGAATTTCAGTCTCCTGAAATCTGGTTGTCAAAGGGTTAATAACCTCCCCTCCCCCCACCCCAAACCTACCCAACCCAAAAATAACCCTGGCTTGTGGCCTTGGGCAGGGACCATAATGATCCCAGTGATCACCACCCCCTGCTCACATTACAGACCCCTTGGCTCCCTCCCGGCCACATGACCCCATCAGGGTCACTGGCACCTTTAAATACACACGCTCTGAGAAGAGAGCACAGGGGAGAGCTGGGCCCCGCAGTCACAGAGACCCAAGTTCCCAAGAACCAGGCTGCTGCCCAAGCTCACCAATGGGCACACGATACCGGCCAGAGCCATGCGGGTCTTTCCGTACAAAGCAGACAACCTCACATGACAAACAGAAGCCCAGGGGACTCCTGGTGCCCTTGAGGGGCAGGCCAGAGAAGGCCAGTGGGTAATGAGGCTCTCGTGAGCCAAGCCCCTGGGTATCCAACACTCCCGCAGGCTGCAGCTGTGAAAGCAGGGCCAACCTGGGTGGCCTCACAGGCCCCAGCCAGCTCCCAGTAGATCCTTCAGAGTTATTGCGAAGTAAGCAGCAGGACCCTAGAGGCTGCTGTGGGCTCTCTGATCCACCGCCTATGGGCAAAGGAAGGTGGCCCAGAGCTCAGGGCAGGGGCTGCCTCCTCCAGCGGGCTCTTCCAGATCCCTCCAAGAGGTCAGCGTTTTCTCGCTCCCAAAATCACTTTGTGTAATAGACTTTTGCTTTCTTGCCCACAGACACACAGCCTCTCCCCAACTCCAAAGCACCACCTAAGCTCCCTGAGGGTTCCCCAGAACCCAGCACAGGGCCTAGCCCAGAGAAGGAGCGCTTCATCGGCTCTGCCCCTTATCCCCTGGATGACTTTGGCCAAATCACAATTCCTCATTACATGATCAGTACGCTTGAAATCCTACGATCGGATCAATAATCAATCAACCCCCTTACGACCCCCAACAGAACCTGCAGACCCAAATCTGAGCGCTGGGTTTACAATCCTGGTAGCCTCTCGTTGACGACATGGGCTCACATCTGAAAACATCTGAATTTCAGTAGACCTGCCCCTCAACCAACTTTCTCCAGGGAATATCAGCATGTGGCTTATGTCCAGGTCTTTACAGAAGAGGTAAGGAGCCCTCAGCTCCCATGCAAGCACTCAGGCTAACAAAAACACAGAATAGGACAGGCTTTATAAACTCCCACAGAAAACACAAAGGAAAGCTCTCTGGCCTGTCCAGCACCTAGCATAGTGCTTTGAACATGGAAGGGACTTATCAAATTTAACTGAACCACAGGTTTGGGTTGGGAACCAGAAACAGAACCAGGGAGTCACCTTAGATAGCCTAAACCATACCTCCTGGAACAGAGGCTCCCTTCCATCATCTCCAGTACGTGATCCTGCCATCTCTCCAGTCCTCTCTCACACCGCCTCAATGTTAGGGCTTTTCTTTCAAGTCACTTTGTCTGCACCTTCTCCCTGCTTCTAGTTCTGCTCTGTGGGTCATGCAGGACAAGGCCCATCTCTCCTCCAAAGGACAGTCCTTCAAACAAGTATCGACGGTTCTTCAAGGCTCCATGTTCTTCACCCGATCTCCATGTGACCTGGTCTCCAGACCTTTCCCCATCCTGGTTGTTTTCCAACACCCTGGGCTGAACACAATGCCTTAGATGAGACTGGACCAGAGCAAAGGCCCTCAGGGATGGGAAGGAGCTCACCAGCCATGAGGTGGTTGGCAGCATGGCCCACAAGGGGGTGCTTAGAAGATCACGGCAGCTCCCCCAGCGC